ACTCTGCATCGCTTTCCTCAGTACTCAGACTACAGGAAACTCTGTAGCATCTTCTTCCACATTGTCCCCAGCAGCTTAAACCCCATCATTTACGGTCTTCAGTCCACTGAAATCAAGAAGCTCTTTTCCAGGTTAAAGAATAAGCAACTGCTTTCATAAAACAGTTGTTAAAGCAAGGATTGTTAAATGATCATCAGAGGCCATGAATGTATGAAACAAGGTCACTAATGATATTTAAACATTTGGGTCTGAATGAAGGACAACAAGATGAAAGATGTGAAATTATTAAATTACAAGAAAACATCCTTATCAGTAGGAAATATAAACTGTAATTAAATATTTTGCTGGTACTTGCTTTTAATGCTAAATGATAAAGATGATATAGATGGTTTAATCAAGTGAAGGGATGGATGAACTTTAGGTTTCATCTTTTCCACTATCTGTCCTTTTTTTGCTGCTGCTGTTTGTGGACGTCCATATAAATAATTTCTTTCATTTATTCCCTTTCAGTTTAGCTCCTCATCCTCAAGGGTGACAACTGAGATGCTACGATACTGAATAAAGAGTTACTGAAAAAAAAATCTAAAAATAAGTAAATTTTTCTTGAAATAAGTGTATTTGCCCTTAATTTGAAGAGGTAAATAAGATGATCAGCCAATCTGAAGAAATATTTCTGACCATAAAATAGATAACTACCTACTATACAATTAAAATAAATAATGAATTTGTTTTTATCTCAGTTGTCAACTCAAATCAAAGAAAAAATATATTTATATCAAGGAAAAGTGACGTACTTGGATCTAAATGTTTTGAGTGTATGCTTTCTACTGTGGCATGTTCTGCTCACATATCCAAAGCTTCATCATCTTAAGGAGAACATGTCTTCATCCACAGCCTCCAAATAAAAGAGATTTAATGTGCTTTACTTTCTCATACTCAAAATAAAAATTATTTACATATTGCTGTTGGTTTCTGTTTATTTCAACATAGTCAGCCTCTGATAAAGATGTTAAATCAGTGGAAACAATCTTTGATCCAAAGACCATCATCCGTCTCTGCAGTGAGTCAGGAGCAGAACGTGATGATGAAGATGATGATGAAGAGGGACTGTTGGATTTACTCCCAAACTTTAGTAGATTTCTGGCAAAAAGAAGAGAAAACTGGGAAAACTGTCCGAGTCCAGCTGCAGATCTTCTATTTCTAAGGTTCTTTAGAGGATTTATGGCATCATGGAGACCAAGACACATCTTTAAAATCAGGCTTTGGCTTGATGCTCTACACAACAATATGGAAACAAACACAGAAACAGTTGAAAAAGAACATTAAGACTGCAGCGATGCATTGGGAGAGAAATAAAAACAGCTCCTCTGTCAAATAGAGACAGCTTTGAAATAGAGACAGCTTTGAAATAGAGACAGCTTTGAAACTGAAAGCAAAGTAGATATTTGGAGGTAAACGTTCCACCCTTTCAACTTCAGGTGTTAATATTCTTAACCTGTATTTTCAGCTTTTAAAGGCCTGTTTTGGTTTAGTGTTGCATGATTAGAACTGTTTGTTTTTTATTTATTTGTGGATTTATTTAGCGTTTGAAACAGCCAACTGTGGTAGTAAAGCATTCAACTCAACCTGGAGAGACTCACACAGAAAAAAAAGCGGTGATCCCAACATTTTATTGACCTAAGAAACATATGATTTTGGGGCCTCGGCATAAAATGATGTTGCTGAATCCAGCAGGTCTGCTTGTGAAGGTAGATCTAGAGACATCTTTCTTCTTAGAGTGTGACGCTGGTGGTGGGTTGAAAGAGGAGGGGCAGCTAGTGGTGAAGGGGAGGGCAGTATAAGGAGAACAAATTTCTGCAATCTAATCTGGGGAAATTTCCTGCACATAAATAAAAATAAATACCTTTTATAAAAAGTAAAATAGGAAATGGGGACAGTGATGTTTTCATTCATTTTTATATATTTATTAATATTTAAACAAAAACCAAGTATGAAATCCAGGAATGCGCCTCTTCCATTTCCTAAGATAAATCATATTAATCAATCAATAGTGTTTATTAGCGCCATCTGGTCATTCAGTCTTCTCTGTCTTCTTCCCTTGTGAGCAACATAACATTGTGTTCAGGGACAGACCAGTTTGCACCAATTTAGAGTCTGTGAGAATTTCCCTCTTTTTCCATTCCAAAAAACTAAAATGAAACTCTTTTATATATAAAAATTGAAAAACATATTTTCTTTCTACATAATGATAACTATAAAATGAAATGGCCTCCATTTGTTTATACTGCATCCTGGAGATCCTTGGGTAGCCTTCAGCAGCCTGTATTAAAATATGTGTCACAATTAAAAGATTTACATTAGATATTTCTATTAAGATTAAATTACAACAATTAAAACACATTTATAAATCTGGATCTCATGAGCAGCTTGAAGAAGCCACACCAAAAATACATGTTTTGTCAATACAGGTATAGATACATGAAAAATAAGCTCTCAGGGCAAGCATAAAAATAATGCAACCTTTTGTGAATATATATTCCTAATAGGAATATATATTCAGAATCCTATTTTCTATTCATAAATACAGCTAAATCTACTAATAAAAGTAGATTTAATGTCCTCAGGAATCCATCATGTACAGAAGGATATTCAGAGCATTAAAGCTGCACTGTTTAACCTTTGACCCCAGGATTAGCTTAATCTGAGATCATCAAATGATCCTTCAGCTCCATCTTCATCTCGTGCTGCATATTGATCCTCCCTCTTTGCTGCATTCCTCATAAACTGTCCTCTGTGACCTCAGAGGGTCGATCAGCCTCTGAATGGGTCATGTGACCCAGAGCTAACAGTTGTTGCTCTCACCCTCATCTAATCAACCAGATTTCTGGTTCTCTGATGGAGGATTTAGGAGGAACAATGCGGTTTTCGTCCCAGTCCCAGCACACTGGACCAGCTCTATACCCTTCAGCGGGTGCTCGAGGGTTCGTGGGAGTTCGTCCAACCAGTCAACATGTGTTTTGTGGATCTGGAGAAGATTTTTGACCGTGTCCCTCGTAGTGCCCTGTGGGGGGTGCTCCGGGAGTATGGGGTGCACGGCTCTCTATTAATGGCTGTCTGTATGTCCGCAGCACGAGCTTGGTTTGCATTTCCGGCAGTAAGCCAGAGCTGTTCTCAGTGAATGTTGGTATCCGCCAGCGCTGCCTTTTGTCACCATTTCTCTTCATTACATCAATGGACAGAATGTCAAGGGGCAGCCAGGGACCGGAGGGTGTCCAGTTTGGGAACCTCAGGATATCATCTCTGCTGTTTGAAGATGATGTTGTCCTGTTTGCCTCGTCAATCAGGACCTCCGACGTGCACTGGGGTGGTTTGCAGCCAAGTTTGAACCGGCCGGGAAGAGTATCAGCACCTCCAAATCTCTCATTTTTCTCCACAGGAGAAAAATGGACTCCCCTCTTCAGGTCGGTGGAGAGTCCTTGTCTTAAGTGGAGGAGTTCAAGTATCTCGGGGTCTTGTTCACGAGTGAGGGACGAATGGAGCGTGAGATCGACAGAGGGATCGGGGATCGGCAAAGATGCGATCGCTGTATCAGACTGTCGTGGGGAAGAGGGAGCTGAGTCAGGGGCCAAAGTTTTTGATTTACCGATCGATATATGTTCCCACCATCACCTATGGTCATGATCTGGATAATGATCGAAAGGACAAGATCGTGAATACAAGCAGCTGAAATGAATATTCTTCACAGGGTGGCTGGGCGCACCTTTAAGATTGAGTGAGGAGCTCAGTTACCTGGGAGGAGCTCGGAGTAGAGTCGTTTCTCCGCCACGTCGAAAGGAGCCAGCTGAGGTGGCTCGGGAATCTGTTTCGGATGCCTACTGGTCGACTCCTTTGGGAGGTGTTCCAGGCATGTCCCACTGGGAGGAGGCTTCGTGGAAGGCCCAGGACACGCTGGAGGGACTGTTTCTGAGCTCGGCTGGTGTCGCCTCGGGGTCCCAGAGCAGATGGAGGAAGTTTGTGTGGATCGGGAAGTCTGGGCATCTTTCCTTAGACTGCTGCCTCCGTGACCCAGCCCCAGATAAGTGGAAGGAAATAGATGGATGGATGATGGAGGATTTCATCTAGAGGGTGAATGTTTCCTCATCATTAGCAGGAACTCCAGCACTGCTGGTCCCAACTGGTCTGATATGAGAACTCGAACAAAAACTGATTCATTGAGAGGCAGTGCTGTTCTGCCAGTGCCCTATAGTGGAAGCAATACCCTGATGTTACAGGTCTAGCACTCCCAATCACTTAAAAGTGGTATAACTTTCATATATTAGCATTCACACAATTAAAAAACAAAATGGTGAAACAAAAGATAAAAGAATGAAACTATACACCCAAAGCGACTCAGAACCAGTCAGAACCAAATAAGGATTACAGAAAAATGTAAAATTTTGGCTTACTAGGAGGAAATTCTACAATGTCGTTCATTTAGTTAGTAAAATTTGGCCTAATCGGGATTCTGCTGGGTCTGACTGTACGTCTGAACGGATGCAGGAATCAAACACATTTTTTTATTTTTTACTTCTTATTGTTATTTCTCAGTTTTTCTTCATGAGTAAAAAGGAGTAAAGAGTTGTGTCTTTCTCTCTGACCTTTAAGATTTAAAAACTTGAAGTTAAATTTTTCAATCCAAAGTTAATTCACATCTTTTTGACCTCCTCTAAACTACGGATTAAAAATATTGCTCACAGACACCTGAGAAGATGCAATTACAGATAAAGGTTTTAATCAGGGGATTCAGGATGTCTGTTACCGTGGCAACGGGTGATTATGTTCCTTGTTTTTCGTGAAGGAACCAAAATGAGTCCCATGGGAGTTTTCCTGCTTTTGCTGCTTAATGAACGTTTATTACTAAAGGCTCTAATGTAATTTGGCCTAATTAAAGTTTCTTCTATCAAAAATAAAAGCTGCTGTTCGACCGTTGGGGTCGGATTGAGCTCTGGCTTGTCGGTAGATCCTGTTCAGACGATGGTCGTTTCTGAGAGACTTTGTCTGGTTTCATCTGTGCTGCTCTGAGCTTCACATGTTTCTATGAGCAGAAGATCTTTGTGGCCTCATGGAGCTGCTGATGTCTGAAAGGCTCAGAGGTCTGTATCCGACTCTCTCCTTCTGTTAGTTTGAGCTACAGTGAAACTGTTGGAAAGGCTCATCAGTTCATCCAATTTTCCAATATCATGCTTTCTCTGATTTCTGAGTAAAAAATGTTTGTTTAGTGTTACCAAAGATTTTAGATAATCTAAATAAGTAGATATGTGTAGATTATTGATCTGAGTTAAACAAAAAATTCCACATTTTGGCCAAAATCCAATGTCGAATAAAAGGGATTTATTCATAAATATAACTGGATACCATCAGCATGCTAGTTTTCCTTACATAGAAAACTTTAATCTGACTGGATGATCTGAATAAATGTCATCTTGAGATAAAAAGTGTTCTAAATGTGCACTTCAGAAGTAAAGTGAATAAAATTTAATTGAATTAAACCGTAATTATGAGTAGAAACTGTTTAAACTTTATTTGCACATTTCCAACACTTTGCTTCAAAGGTTTGTAGTTTTTAGGTTGTTTTTAAAAATGAGGTGGAACAACATCAGAGATTACTGAATTAATTTTGTCTTGAAAATTACAGAAAAGTATTGCAGATGATTTTATGTTGTTGAACTTTAGCTGATCTCAAAAAGGTTAAAACTGTTCCCCTAATAAATAGACATTTTGGTTTTAGGTCTGTTTCTGGTTTGATGAACTTAAGAGTTAGTTAAAACCTTAAAGTCCTCAGTGCTGAACTCATGCTTTATAAACTCAGCTTCCATCTTAAATACGCTGCATTTTCAGACAATAAGGCTTTAGTAAATGTCCTAATCTGGATGTTTCTTTTTCTCAGCAGCTGAACTTTGATTTTTCTCAGATTTTTTTCTAAAGGTTGTGTTTTTTTATTAAAAAAATGTATCTATGAATTAATTTTGTCATTTTATTTCATTTAAAAATATTTCTCTGCATTGTAAGATTTTACTTAATCAACCAATAAAAATAAAAAAAATTGGAAAATAAAATAAAACCCCATATAAAAAGTTAATTTAAACCTGAAGGTTGAGTAAAAAAAAACAAAAATCTGTTCAGGTTTATTTACTTCGTTGAGCAGTGAAGCCTCCTGCCTGGTTAATGTCCAATAATCTTACTTGATTGAACATTTTAACATGGAATTTATTAAACGTCTCGCACAGCTTTTATCCACATTCTGCTGGTTCTGCTGAGTTCTACATGTTGAATCTGTGGGTCCATCTGGTTCTTTGGGGAACGATTCCTGCTCATACCGACACATGTTTATCTTTCCATCTGCTGATTGACAAACAGTAGGGAAGAAAATCTCAGCAGGTTTTCGTATTTACAGTGAAACTCAGCTGAGATAAAAAAAACTGTTTATTTAACTTGGTTTCTGGATCCATCATCATTTTATTTCTTCATTAATTATTCCCTGAAGTTGGGTTCAGGGTCTTCTGGGTCCAGTTTTACTCTGAGGTGTGTGTCAGACTCATAGTGTAGGTTCTCTGATGTTTGAACGGTCCGTACAGAACCTGATCTTAAGGAAACCTTAAGGTGATTGATAGTGTTAGGATTATTTTTCTAATTCATGTATGTGCTTGTTAAACCCTAATAATACCAGCCTTTTATAGGTTAAGGCTCATGTTTTTGAAACAGGTTATCTAATTAGGCCAGTATTTTGAAATGAAATGGAAGCATATGGACAGATTGGATTACGGAGAGCTCTGTCGCTTTGCATTCAGAGTTTACTCGATCATGAGCACTCTATTATTTTGATAAGGCTATAGCCAGAGATGCCTAATTTTACAAACCTGTTTGTGATGAACTGATGTGATGATGAGGCAGGCAGTGTGTATAAAATGCTTCTTTAACTGGTATTTGGCCGACTTTCTGAAGAAGGGAGCGTGGTTGTAAACTCTGTCATCTATAACCGGTCTCATTATAATTTCTGTTAAATATGTTGTCGTGTTTCATAAGCACGCCTACCGACAGGGTGGACCAAGACAGAGGGGGGCCCAAAATTGACACTCTTACCATTAAAAAAATACAGGCAGAAGTTATTTTAGAAAATATTCGTGTGGAAAATATTTCATATTATAGTAACTATATATATATATATATATATATATATATATATATATATATATATATATATATATATATATATATATATATATATATATATATATATATATATATATATATAATGGACAATGGCGTGCTGCCTCTTTTAGAGTTCATTTCGCTGCAGACTAAGAATTTCAGGTTTCCAGAAGTCCAGCACACAAAAAAAAGAGAAAAGGGGAATATGACACCAAAGGCTTGAGGGGTTCTAGGGGCAAATATTAAGAATAAACTGAGGACGAGTCAGGAACAGGTCCAGGAACATGAATTGCAGAAGAATGATGTCCATTCAGAGTCAGTAAGAAGCAATGTGTTTATCATTGTGGATTTAAGGATCCCCTAGCAAGTGTAAGGGGGAAAAACACTTTTACTTTAAAAGAGATACTTCAGCTTTGTGGCAAAACCACAGAAAGATGGCAGAGGTTCAGGTGCAGTGTGAAAGACAGTATTGCAGGGGAGCCAGGGGAGGGATGGTAGGAGTCAGCGTGTGTTTGAGGAGGAGACATAGAGAGCCATCCCCACTGCTAACCGAGAGATGGAGGGTCTTCCTGCCCAACTGGACAGTCTGAGCATAGTGGCTCAGAAACAGATTATGCCGTTAATTTCATTGATCCTGCGCTGTGGCCAACAAAAATGACTGATTCTGATTGTGTGAATGATGTATGTTTAATGGCAAACGAGAAGTCTTTCACAGAGATGGCAAATTATCTGCCAGCAGATTCATAGTGTGTCTAACCTCTTCTACCTCCCACAATGGAGGGGGAAAGTTGTTAGGAACTGGCTGATATACAACAGGTCAAAAATAGCCATATTTTGCTCACCATGCCTGCTGTTCTTCTATCAAGTAGAGAAAAGATCAACTAGTGCATTAAACTCAATAGTTGGGATGAAAATATCCAACATAAAATACAGAAAGCTTAATGAAAGATTTCCAAGGCATTAAAGAAACTTTGCACACAAAACATTGTTATTGGAAATGGAAAAACCTGCTAGGTATTTTCCTATCTCTACCGGTGAGTGGCTGAATGTGAGCAGGCCTTCAGTAAAATTAAGATGAATAAAAATCTACCTGGGCTCAAGGATGACCCAGGTAAGGTTCAATGGTCTGACAATGCTGTCTATAGAGCATCAGCTTGCTAAGAAAGTAGGCTTTAAAGAATGCATAAATGACATTTCCACTAAAACAACTGGCCTGTTCATAAGCATTTTATACTATTTTATCGAATATGTAAACATAGTTTTTTGTTCTGACTCTCTTTTTCTAGATGGAAATCAGCCTCTTCTGAGCCTCAGATCCCTGAATGACAGCAGAGAGGGTGAAGATGTTACATTCTTCATCATCCACGGCCTGGCTGACCTCGCTGGACACAGGATGATCTTTTTCAGCATCCTGCTGCTGGTCTACGTCATCATCCTGGGAGGAAACAGCCTCATCATCTTTGTGGTAAAATGGATGATTTTCTCAGGATCTGGTTCTCGTTCTGATGAACCCATCATGTGTTTTCTGTCTCTTCTCTGTCTCCTGATACAGACCGTTACTGACCCAAAGCTCCGCTCCCCGATGTATTTCTTCCTCTACAACCTGTCGTTTGTGGACATGCTGTTCACCTCCAGCATCATCCCCAACATGCTGGCAGGCTTCCTGATGGACCAGTTGACCATCTCTTTTAATGGCTGCTTCCTGCAGATGTTCTTCTTCATCAACCTGTCAGTGACTGGCCGTGCTATCCTGACCGTCATGGCCTACGATCGGTACTTGGCCATCTGCAACCCTCTTCGCTACACAGCTATTATGACCCGGCCTGTCCAGGTGCTTCTGGTGGTAGGGGCCTGGGGATTCGGAGCTCTCTGCCCTCTGCCGGCCACCACCATGGCCCTGCAGCAGCGCTACTGCGGCCCAAATGTGATCCGACATGGCTGGTGTGACCCGTCCTCTTTAAGGCGTCTTGTGTGTGCCGACTCATCCGTGGATAACATTGTGTCTTTGGCCTTCGCTCTGGTGGCCTTGCTGTCCACAGGGATCCTCATCCTGACCTCCTACATCCTGATTTTTGTGACCATGTCCAGCATGGCGGTCACTCAGAGGCTGAAGGCTTTGGCGACATGTACCGCCCACCTGACCGTGGTTTCCTTCTCCTACAGCGCTGCCTCCTTTATCTACATTTCTTACCGAGTGCGAGACGTTTCACCAGAGGTAAGGATTTTACTGAAATCCTGCTTGGTAGATTGCAGTTCTACAGGCATTGGTTCCGTCCGGTTTCCTGCTGAAATCCAGAACCATGAATGTTAGGTTAATGGTTATAATAGATCATTTAAAGGGGAACACCTTTTTATTTTACCTTGGGCCCTTGATTACCCATCACCCATATGAGTTTTGTGTCATTTGGAGCTGTTCTGAAGTTATTTCGTTCAGTTATATCCAAGTAACGTCTGCTGATGGGCAACGACTTAAAGGCACAAACTGAACTGTTCATAATTTATTCTTTATGGTACGCCAGCATTCATAACATGTAGGTGAATTACTGTCCCCCAGACATCCGCGGTTATATATTTTTTATATTTAAATTTTTAAAAACAAAGCGGAGTGTGTATGACGTCAATCTCTGATCAGGTCGAGGAGACAAAGCGTCTCAGTCTGGTCCTTCCTTCTGCATTAAGGTTTCAGAGAAATCTTCATGGTTATGGTGCGTCATCACTAACCCTAAAGAAACACGTTCCTCTCTGACTGGAGCTTCTGTTTTCCCTCCAGGTACGCATCATTGTATCTGTGTTGTACTCCGCCTTGACGCCGTTCCTCAATCCCATCGTCTACAGCTTAAGGAACAAGGACCTGCAGGACGCCATCAGAAGGATCAGGTTAAGGTTCCACCTTGTGGTTCTGTCAGCACCAAGGGGCATCCAAATTGGGATCTGACCAATGCCAGGATGACATCATGTGATTTCAGAGAAGTCGCTTTGGGATACATTGGGGTGCAAAGACAACCATAAGCCCAGGATGTAGATAAACAAGGACCTGGGTTATGGAGGTCAGAGTCTGAAAACCAAGCCAGAACCTGTTCTTTGTTTCTTTGGATATTCATACTTTAATATTTTCTGCTTGGTTGTTTGAACTGATTTATGTTTGGTCAGTTTTCCTCAAAGAAGAAACTTCAACAATCAAAAAAATGTGTCCTCCTCCTTCCCTGTTGCAGACCTGGTTTAAAGAGCTCAGCTCTTTATTCAGTGTTTCTATAAAATTAAACTCTACATCACTGTGATGGAACCACTACCTGGTCTGGTGGTCGGTCCAGGTGCTCTCTCTCTCAGGCAACTGGATGATATGTTTCTACATTTTGTTCGATGCAATATTACTTTAATTACAATATAATGAAAGTCTCAGAAAGACTGTTATTAAAGCCCTCCTGCAGATGTCTGGAAAAACATGTGACAGTTATTTTTACAATGTTCATCAAACTCCTAACTAGAAGAAATAATTTCTCAAATTGATTAAAACTGCATAAAACTTTAACCTCAGTCAGTGACAGGAGTCTATACATCAGTCATGGACTCTGATGTATAGTGAAACATCAGACATGTCATATCATTGTTATTGACTGAAACATATCGCCATATTTCAATATCAAATCATCATTTAATATTTCTATTTTTTTAAATAAAAAGTAAAAGAGAAATTTGCTGGTGATGCTACTCGATGCTCATTAAAATTCCAACATTTTTAAGAGAAGCTGTCTGCAGCCATCCGGTGGTCAGAGGTAGAACCAACATTTGCTCAATTGCAACCAGTTATTCACAGGTGCTGCATTTAGCTAACTGAATTTCCAGTTTATTTAGTGCATTAACATAAACATTGTTGTAATTGCCTATGGTTTTATACATTTGATCCTTATTTCTGACCACATTAATGGAATATTGAGAATTTCAATTATGTGTGAATCACCAAAAGCTAAACCAGGAAGCAGATGTACCCACAGATGGTGTCTTCTAGTTCATGATAGTAAAACAAGCTTTTACAGTAAGTTTAGTTAAATAAAAGATTTATTTTAAATTAGTACATTTTCTGTAACAGATGTTTCTGCTCTGTAAAAACTTCCACTCTAATAAATAATCATTACAGTTGAATCCTAATTTTTCCTGACATTCTCTTTGCCTCCTTACAGCCTGGATCATAATAGTTATGTGTGAATACAGAAAAATCTGTTTTTGGATCCATAAACCTCCAGGTTAAAGTTCCCAAACATGCTTGAGGACCTTAATGTTTAAGTGGATGTTCCTCCTAGTGTTCCAGGTGGGAACATCAAGAGAGAAGGTCCTGTTTGTGGAACATTGAGAACTTATTTTCATGGGGATCTTTTTGATTTGATCACTTCGTATCTGCCACCGTGTTCTTGTTGAACATGATGAAGATCTTCTGGCGCACAGCTTTGATTTGCAGTCCATAGATAATGGTGTTCATGGCTGGAGGGACCACATGGAACATGATGGCAGCTAACTTCCTTTGGTCCTCTAAGTCAGGAAAGCGATGAAGGAGAATGATGATGCCTCCTGAAACAAACATGATGATGTAGAGGATGAGGTGGGTGGCGCAGGTCTGCAGGGCCCGGCTGTTTTTCATCCCTCTCTTGTTGATGAGGCACACCATGGCGATCCTCAGATAGGTGAGCGCGATGCTACCCAGAGAGGAGCCCAGCAGAACCACGGTGTAGGCAAGGCCGTAGATGTTGTTGATCAGGACGCTCTCACAGGACAGCTTGAACAGCGAGGCGTTGTCACAGAACGGGTTGAAAATGACCCCCCTGCAACGGGACAGGCGGACGCTGAGCCCCACCAGGACCAACACCAACGACAAAGCCACCGTCCACGCCCCCACCGACAGCTTCACAACCATCCGGTTGGTCATTACAGTGGGGTAGCGTAGCGGGTTGCAAATGGCCACATAGCGGTCGAAGGCCATGATCATGAGAACGGTGTGAGAGGCGCTTGCATGAACATGGGCGCAGAAGGCCTGCAGGGCGCAGCTGCTGTAGTGGATGAGTCTGTGCGAGGTTGGAGTGAAGATGTCACTCAGCAGGCGAGGGATGATGGCCGTGGCCCCGACCGCGTCATTGGTGCCCATGTTACAGAATAGCAGGAACATGGGTTGATGCAGGCTCCTCTCTTGGGTGATCATAGCTATCAGGCCGATGTTTGACAGCATCACAAAGATGTAGATGACGAGGAGGAGGATGAAGGCTGGGACAGAGGACTGAGGAGTGACCTTCAAACCCTCCAGGAGCAAGATGTCTGGACCAGGAGTCTTGTTTTCCATAAAGCATGAAGTTTGGCGATGCCTAAAGAACAAAAACAGAATTTAATGTCAACATCATCTTTATGTTTTTTAGCTTAAACAAAACGGACACATATGAAGGAAAGGAGCACAACCATGAATCCTGTGATCTTCTCCACACCGTTTGCTCTCTGCTTTGCTATCTGAAGAAATTAGAAAATAGAAAACTGCAAGAAACACGGTTTGGTAGTCTAACCAGAAAGGTTAGACTGACACCGATTATTCATCAAGGGTCAGGGCTGCAGGGCGTGAAGCACTGCCTGCCTTAACACGAGAGAAATCCAGAGATTGAATATGGCTTTTTTTTTTTTACTAATGTAACATAACATTAGCTCCCCTTACAACTAGAATGCTATAATCTGACCTCCTATCAATCACTATACTAACATTATCCCCCCTTATTAGAAACGTGCCAACATTAGAACCCTTTATTATCACCATTCTAACTTTAGTCCCTCTTGCTATCTCCAGTCATGTGTCTGTTGCACCAAATAGGGACTCCCCTGCAGACAGTAAATGTTGCTGCGTTGCACAGACTGCAAAATGATGGTAAAGGTACATCTATCTCAACAGTTTGGTCAGTTTAGGCAACTGGACCTGCTCGACGAGAAGGACAAGAAAGCCAAGATGTCTCAGCACAAGAAAGGCAAGGAAAACTTCACGTCCAGTTGCCCAAACTGAACTTTTCAAGCTTGACCATGACCTGGATGACAAAGAATCTTCACACATATCCACAGGAACATGCATGCATACAAGTTCAATTCTCCGGTGTACCTTTACAAGAAAAAAAGGTTATTAAAAATGTCAGCATGAGCTCTATTTAAATATTTTTCCTAATGAAAATGATTAGAAATGAATTTCCAAGCAATTTCAGAAGGGGAGGAAGAATGGGTAGCATGATAGAAGACAGAGAGCAATATTTTAACATAGTACTGTTAAAGTTCTATTAACCCCAAATGTCATCAGGACACAAACATTAATCTTTGCTTTATGAAGGAAATCAGTCCTAGCAAAGCAGTGAGAACAGATGTAATGATAACAAACAGGAACATTTGCTCTAAAAACTGTTTTTTAGAAATGAAAATGTCATGAGAGCTACACAAATTAAAATTTTGCTTTTTTTATACACTCTGTGTATAAAACATTAAAATTAATGCCTAAGTCTAAATCTAGGTCTTTCCTCTAATGCTCAACAAAAACGAAACAGTTAAACAAAGATATCATATTTTAATCAAGTCAGAGTCATTACTGGAGAGGAAGAACCAGATGAGGTTGGTGAGAAATCAGCTGATGTGTTGGTTCTGATGCCAGATGAAGATGCAGCACAGCTTCTGCTTAATCTGGATTTAGATGATGAAAGAAAACGAGAGTTATGACGATAAAAACCTGCTTTGTTCTGTTGAAATCTCCAAACGCATTCCTGTATGGTTCTATACAACAACTAAAACTATCAGGCTGAGAACCAGCTGTACATGAAAACAAAGGGTAAGTCTGAAGAAAGATTGTTCAGGGCTAACATCCTTCCTATGCTGCTTCAGTTAGAGCAGATCTGGCTCCACAAAGCAGAACACATTAGGAAGGTCCAACTAAACACACATTAGTGATGACACGCTGTCAGATTGTGAGCTGTAGGGAGAACAGCGCCGTGTTTATTCTGTGGTACTCACGTGTGGACAGGAACCTCCTCCACTGACTCCACAGCTCGGTCTGCAGGTTTTATACCATGCCTGACGACATCCTGGTTCTCCAGAGATGGATAACCACTGAATCCAAGTCTGATAGATTACTGATAGATTAAGACACAGGGAGGTTTACAAGTAAAAACATTTCCTATTGCAGCAAAAACACATATTATCCCACGGTCAGTTACAGCTGATGGTAAACTGGCTGCATAAAGATCTGTTTAAGAGAACATTAAATCACAGTAAAGACCAAAAATCCAATAAGTCTTATATATAAATATGTCATTTTTATTTAATTCATGAATCAAAAAAGAACTTTCTTGATTTTCCCCTTAGATTACCTTTTGAATCAAATGATTCTTAAATAATAGATTTATTAAAAGGCCTTTTTATTTTTATCAACATGTTCTTATTGTCATCAATTTATTATAATTTGATATATTGTTACACAAAAAATAAGTGTTCGTAACTTTGATTCTTTCAGCAGAGGTTCATCGTTTCACTGGCAGCTTACTGTCATCTGTCAGTCCGTGTGTCATGTGACCAAACCTGGTACCTGAGTGAAGTTGGCCTTCTTCAAATAAAACTAAAAGGGCTACCTGTCTTATCCTGCTGGGTCAGATGCTCACGTCTGAAAAAGTAGGGAGGCATTCAAGGTAGCAGAATAAAGCATTAGCCTCACTGCATGCTATTAGCCAAGCCTTGTAGCTAAACCCGGTCCTGGAAATGCAGATTAATTTTGATGTTCGACCGATCAGATCCATACGGTTTCACCTCGAGCTTCTATTGGTAAGTTTGCTTCCCTGCTGTGACTCAGTATGTCAGTCACCCACACAGCTACTGCGACGACAGTTCTTGTCACTTCAGGGCATAGCTTTGGTGCCCGCAGAGCCCTCCTATACTTCGCTATTGCAGAGGAGCTACTGCTCATGTACAACTTTTAACAAGAGTCAAACACTTCAAATTAGTCTGTTTATAAAGCGTCACAACATTGACATTCTTGTAATCACAAGGTACTTCAATTTAACCAGATCATACAGTCAAATTGATTTGAAATTTTCTATCTAAGGAAAAACAGTTGATTGCATCGACTCATTAACTCGAAAAACAATCCCTCACACCAAGCATGCTTGTAGCGAAAGTAGGGAGGAACAACTCCTTTTTACCAGGAAGAAACCTCCAACAAAATCAGGCTCAGTGTGAGCAGCCATAAGCTGACTGGGGATCAAGGACACAGAAGCAGACATACAGAAAGAAGCAGAGATACAAAAGGCAACTGTAAACCACCTCGAAAGACAGCCCTGCGCAGGAAACATAGAGCAGGCAGAGGAGCTCCGAGCTAGCTCCCATGTCAGAGGATGAAAGAGAGCACATCCAGCCAGTCACAGTAAGAGAAACAGGACTACACTGAAAAACAGGCCGAGCTATCTATAAAGAAAGGTGTTGGCAGCAGCACAGCTGATATTTCTCTCCAGGATGATAACAGACCAAGTTATGCTACTTTGAGAAAAAGCTGAGAGAGCACAACATTAGAGATTGAACTAAAACATTCTGTAGAATGGGAGAATGTAGACAGAATAATTCCAAATGATGAAAAAGGGTCCCTATGTCCTTTAGCAGTCTAAGCCTATAGCAGCATAACTATAGAGATAGCTCAGGATAACCTGAGCCACTCTAACTATAAGCTTTATCAAAAAGGAAAGTTTTAAGTCTAGCCTTAAAAGTAGACAGGGTGTCTGCCTCACGGACTAAAACTGGTAGTTGGTTCCACAGGTGAGGAGCCTGATAACTAAAAATTCTGCCTCCCATTCTATTTTTAGAAATTCTAGGAACCACTAGTAAACCTGCAGATTGAGAGCGAAGTGCTCTGTTAGGAACATAAGGAACAATCAGATCTCTGATATAGGATTGTGCTTGGTCCATTAAAGCTTTATAAGTGAGAAGGAGGATTTTAAATTATATTCTGGATTTAACAGGAAGCCAATGAAAAGATGCTAGGATAGGAGAGATATGATCTCTTTTTAATTTTAATCAGAACTCTGGTTGCAGCATTTTGGATCTGCAACCAGAGTTCAGCTGAAGGCTTTTAAAGGAATACTATGCAAAATTTTTCAGTTAATTAATGTGTTCCATAACATTTTGGATGATTAAATGAGTCATTTCAGGTCGAAAAAAGGTTTTCTCGGCCGCCCTGGTGGTCTGTAGGGGAAATACCTTACTTGCAATTGCATGGGGGGCCAATGGAGCGAGACCAGAACAGCGGCAATGAGCTGTTTTTCTAGTACCCATTAGAAGACATGCAGCAGCAAGCTGTCAAATGACAGAGCAGAGACTGATTCACTCCAACAAAAAATCCACTAATCCAGGCAGGGAGGAAAAAAGTGCCTTAATCATTGTTTCAAAGAGTTGTCTTTTTTTCCAGCTGTGTGATAAAACCACATTTAACAATTGTTCCACTCTGAATGTTGCATTTAAAATCACGTTCCAACCTAAAACCAAAGTCAAAGATAGATGTTTTAACAATCTTGTAATAGGTTCTAAATTAACTGCACCAGGTCACAGGAGCCACTTGGTCCGAACACTTTTACCTTTGTTTTCTTATGGTGGAAAATCAAAAAGCTCAGGGCTAGCCAAGATTTCATGTCTTTTAAATAGTCCAGAAGGGCTATTTTAGAGGCAGAGAGATGTGTTGATCATCAGCATATAAATGGAAAGGAAGTTCATATTTCTCTAAATGGAGCCTAATGGCAGTAAATATGATAAAAAGAGCAGTAAGGCTAAAGGCTGATTTATACTCAGAAACCAGGTCGACTGCGTGTGTGTCGCAGTGAATGCAAATGTAGCCCCGCTCCTTCCGCAGACACTCTGGTGCACCTCTCCAAAATTGTAGGTGTAGTGCTGCGCCGATAACTGCATGCAGGAGGTCAGATGATTACAATCAATAGTTGCTTTGTATGACTCCAGATGTTCTGTGGATGTTTATGTTTCTAAACTTCATAGTTTTGGTAAAGAATTGTAGCTATGATCACTAACCCCTCTGCCCTTGACTTTAAACCTGTTTACCAGCTTCCCCCTCTGACCTATAGTTGAGTCTTCTAGGTCCCCTCATGTCTGATGCTCTCATCTTGGTGACCATTATTTATGGACTTTAGGGAGTTGGACCTTCTGAACTTTCCAGGTTGATTAGCAGCAATGGCTGATCCAGAGTTTCTCCTGTTGTCTTTCCATCTTGGCATTGATTAAAACTCACCCGATGCTGCTGAACTCCATCTTTTTCAAACAATCCTTTGCTGAAGGGAGCTTTTCTTCAGTCCTTTAGAAACATATATGGACTCAGTTTGACCCTGATCACTACTGGTTGGTTTAGTGTTTAATAATCAGCAACTTTAGGAAAAGTGAAACATTGTTGAGTATATGTGGCGGTTTTGAGTTGGAGAATTTGAAAGTTCTGAATCATTAGAAAATTGATAAAAGAATGCTGATTTTCTTCTAAGCAGGATGTCAAATTCCATTAAAAAGAGAAAAGCAACCTTAGAAAGCATCGATATGATTAAGCTGAGGAATTTTTCTCATAATTAATGTTAATTTCTGCCAAAGAACAGCTTGTTTGTTCTCATCACTATAAATCACCAAAAACTGAGAAATAATTCGTGCATCCAGAGAAGCAAAGGAATTCATATGACCATAAATGGATTTTAGTGGGCTCTGGTAATAAGAAGAAAAAAACATGGAGCATAGAGGTTTAAGTATCTAAATCATTCTTTAGCGCCAGATCCAACATCTAGTTCTGATCTCTGCACGATCTGCCTCCTTTATGATGTTAAGCATCCATCTCTAATTTTTTTTTTTGTGTGTGCTTTTGGCCCTGTTTGGATCCGTCTCAATCTACTGACCCTACCTATAACCAAGAACAACATGTTTTACCTGGAAACTATTGGTGTAACGAGATCTTGCAATATTAAAATGTCATATCATTTGTTTTACCTGCTATCTCACAAGCATTAGTCATTCAATCGTGCTCATATCATTACATTTAGGTAGAAGGTAATGCATAGAGAAGAAAGTACCTAAGGTCTGAGAAAGTTCTAGATTCAGGAAAAAATGTTTTCAGTTTGTAATAAACTACTAAAAATGTGCAAACACATTTTTGTGGCATAAAGTTGATAAATAAAATTATCTTTATACTCTTATCAAAATCCCATTTTGTCTCATTCTTCTGAACTTCCTTTTGTTTCTCGTATCATTTTATCTATTATTACGCTCCCACTGTAAACAGTTTAAAGTCAAGTTTTCATCTTATCTTTGACATGTTAACTTCATCATGTTATTAAAGCCTCCTGACCATACTGAAGACAACTTATTTTACAGGAATAAATTCACTGCAGCTGTAATCCTGTTTTATTTCTATCAAACTTTTATTTTGAGCATCGTTTAAAAATTGAAACAAAATAAATTTGAACAAAATGTATTTAGTAACCAATCCGAAACAGCAAAGCTCCATTTAACACGGTTCTAGTCCTTCGAATGCTGATTCTAGGTCCTGAGTCCTTGCTGTCTGAGTCAGAGGTTAGTCCCTCTGGCACAGGGTCATAACTGAAACTGAACCTTCCACTAACAGACCTCAGTAAGCTGGAGGAGCTGTGGATCCAGACCCGATTACAGGAACTATTAGAGTCAAAGGGTGAGAAACATGGAGCCATGAGGGACAAATCAGGGCAAGCGGCCTTGACCCGTGCTGGGTTCACTGTAAAACACAGAACCTGAATAAATCCACATAGAAGATGTTTGAAGCCTCACCGTTTTTTTATGATGATGACAAGGAAATTTTCCTGGACTGAGAGAACCTGGAAAAGAATCGTTGAATTTCTTTTGACTGAACCCCATAAATGATGGGATTCAGGCTGCAAGGAACGATATGGAACAGGATGGACGACATCTTTCTCTGGTCTGAGTACTGAGGGAACCGATGCATCGTTATACTAGATATTCCACAGAAAAC